TACGACAGCAAAATCTAAGCGTGAAAGTTTTCGAACAGGTTAAATTTTTTTAATTTATTATGAATAATTAGTAAATATATTATTAGTTTATAATTATTATTATATTTTTTATTTTTGCTATTATTTTATTACTAGTAGATAGTTTACAAATTCTATAACAATTTTCTAGAATAAAAAAAAATGGAGTCACAAAATGAATTAATCTGGGAAGAAATTAACTCAATATTAAAGCAACTTAAGGAAAATAACCGTGGTATGAATAACGACGAAGCAACTTTCAAAAAGAAAATGAGAGATATCAATGTTAAAATCCAGAACGCATCATTGAAAGCTACCCGGAAAAAGTTGAAAGAAGAAAAACATTTATTAATCAACGATTATAAAAATTTATTATATATAACATACGTCTGTGAAAAAAATATACAAAAAGGACTAAATGTGTTATATGATAAATTAAACGATATATAGTCGCTGATAATAAAATCGATATAAATAAATTATTTTGTTATTATTTATTATTTTTATCTTGTAATTATATATCGAATGATATTGTAGTAAATTATAACCTATATCATTCTTATGCATATAATATCTGTTGAAGGATAATAAATGTTTTTAATGCTCAATACTGTTCAAGTTTTATAATCGTTCAAATAAAACTAATTTAATAAAAATTTTAGGAAAAGTGTTTCAGATTAAAAAAAAAGTATAAATTTTCTAACATAATGAGCGCATAAACAATGTATCAGTATTAATAGCTAGTTTTGAAATTCTATGTAATTTTCAGAATCATGAACTCAGAAATAAACATTATTAAAAGCAGAATTCTAGCAGTAGAACAACAGATGCTTGCAAATAGACGCTATTGTATAGAGAATCAGAAAGCATTTCGAAAAGTATTTGTAAAATTACTATTAGTATAAAGAAACATTTAAATTTAAAAATTGAGTCGATAAATGAACATAATAGATTCCAAAACTATTCAAGTGAATGTAAAGCAGATCTTCAGTAACGGTTAACAAAACTAAACAATCGGTTAAGATAATTAGAATCCGAGTAATTTCTTGATAATTTAAACAGCTTGTATAGACAGTTAGAAAATATAGAATAAAATATTTATATTGTAGCATAAGCGTATAGGTACGTGATAAGGTCTTATAACTATAATTTTTTTAAATATATATTATCATAATAATTATAGTATAAATAATATATATTTTTTAAAAATTAACTTGATATTTACAATTTATAAAATAATATAACCATTTTAGTCAGCAATAAAAAAAAGTTAATTGAATAAAAAGTGAATTATATTGTACAGTGTATTCAAAAATCAATCACTGATATTATCTCAGTTTTATTTATTTTTGAAAATATAAAAAAAAACAGTAACTATATCATAAAGTTAAAAATGAAAACATTCTAAAAGAACATAGTCTCTTTGACTGATTATTATTATCATTTATCAATATTTTAAGTTTTAAAACTTAAGAAACTTTAATTAAATATTATGTTAATAACATATTTTATGACTGGTTAGCAAAACTATACAAAATAATAATAATAATAAAAACGTATAAAGATTACATTTAGCTAAAAACAGAATAAATATTATACTAACGGGTGTATAAGAAGTTGCCTATAGAGACCCCTTAATAAAAAATAAAAAAAAAATAGTAATTAATACTAAACATAATATTATTACCACATATTATAATATTAAAGAAGAATATTATTAAATAAGAAAAAAAAACTACATATTATATATATATATAATTGAAATAGAGTTGTTCGATATGATATTATAATAATTTATAACATTACCGCTTATATATTTTATGTTTTACAGTTGTATTACGGAAAGAATGAGGAAAATTATTTCAAACCGTCAACCATAAGAATCAATAGAATTAATTGAAATTGAAAGATTTAAAAAAATGCTCTAAAACATTTTTGATTAAGAATATAGATTCCATACTATACAAGTTGAATATAAACTTTTTTATTAAATAATTGTTAAAGATAAAATAAATACTATAGTAAAATTATAAGATAAAAATACAGAAGTATTATTTATTTTCATTGATTAATTTTTCCGCTAGATGATGCTTTTTATATCGATTGTGGATACGTCATCATGTTTTTTTTTTTGAAACAGGCTATTGAGGATTAGGAGATCATAACAATATAACATTGTGTAATAATTAATTTTGACTTCAATGAAAAAATATTTTATTATAAAAGCATTACATATTATACATAAAAAATCTTTATTTTAAAATATCTGATGATGTTATCCATGCATTTTGACTTGAATCAAAACCTAACCATTTAACAAGCATTTTATTCCCAACTTTTTTTACAATACGTTCAATGAGAAAGGTTTTTGGAAAATCAGTTAATTTAATTTCCTGTTCATAAAAACCACCTAAGATTATATTGTCTGATTCATCCTTTAGTTGATAAGTTACTGGATTTGTCTGAAAAACTTTTGAAACTGTAAATATTTCCGTTGTCTAATTTGGTGTATATCCTTTACTAAATATATGTTAATACTTAGATATTCTTACTTTGTCGTTAACCTTAAATTTTGGTTTGTACAATGTTTCAGAATTTATATATGTGTTAAATTTAATATAGTTTGTATCCATTCGAGCTTCACTAGGTGTACATTTGATTGTTCTATGTTTTGTATTATTATAGTTATGTATAATTTTTGATATTGTATTGTACCAATTCCATGTACCAGTAGCAGTAAAATGTATATATATATATATATATACATTATTTTCAAGAGTTTAGACCATGTGTTCCGCGATTGAACATTTAATAACACTGTATGAACTGTAATGTATAATTTTATATTTTTTCATTAAATTTTGAAATTGAGCATTGTAAAATTCCGCACCATTATCTGTCTGTAAAAATTTTGGGTTTGCTTTTTTTCGATATAATAAACATACCTTTTGTACATTCTTTCGATGTTTTATTTTTCAGCAGTTCCTGAATACTTAAATCCAGCCTCAGATAACGAATATTTATTTTGACATAAATTAGGTGGAAACGAATTATATGATTTTAATCTCGATAAAAATGTAGTAAAATCTGTATGCACTGGATACGAATTATTTCTTACTAAATAAGCCAATGAAGGAAAATCGTTAGAAAACTTCTGTAAATTCATGGTTTTTAATAAAACTTGAAATAATTGGTTGAAAAAAAAAAAACGATTCAAGAAGATAATGCACTGAAAAAATTCCCCGTGAAAATTAACTCAGAAGCCCCAACCATACTTTTTAGAATTTTTACCTATACGGTGATCGAATGTGCTGCAAGGGGGACTTTCCCCCTTGAACTTTTTTTTTCCCTGTAAAAAGTGACTCAGAAGCCCCAACCCACCTTTTTAGAATTTTTACCTATACGGTGATCGAATGTGCTGCAAGGGGGACTTTCCCCCTTGAACTTTTTTTTTTCCCTGTAAAAAGTGACTCAGAAGCCCCAAATTACTACTACTAGAGCCTTATGATTGTCAGAACCTCACATAAAATTCGGAACATTTTATATTAATTATATTAATTTAGAAGCATCTGCAGTTATTAATGACACCCAATAAAGTTAATCTAGTTCTTTTAAATTTGTGTTGTGACTATATTTATTTGTGACTGAACACCTAAGTGCGTTCATAACATTTTTGGTGGCAGCGGTGGGATACGTCTTCCAGTATCTCACTACTACGTCATTTCATAAATCAGAAGAAAGAAAATCAAAACTTCAGTGTCAAAGAGCAAGTGCATTTATCAACCAGACGCAAATCATACGGAGCATTTACAGAAACTCGCCGATCTATTTTTTTTTTTAGGAGGTATAGTAATATTTTATTATTGTTATTATAATATTATACTCGTTTGTAGTACGACGTATACGACGACAATCGGGTCGACGTCGACAAAATTCATAGAAGGGGCATATACATAGCAGTGTCACAACAGTCGTCGGTGTCACCGATATAATCCAGAGAATTATCGCTGACGTCACTACGCAGGCCGCCGCCGGAATTGTTACCAGTATCACCACCAGCGTTGCCACTGGGACTGCCGCCGAGAGCCACCGCTGACGTCACGAGCCGTCACGAGCCGCCCGAGCTGTGCCGCCCGAGCCACGAGCCACGAGCCGCAGCGAAGGTCACACGGGTACGAGTTACATTACGCCTGGACAGCAACTGTCACGGGGACAACTACAGCCACGGAGATTCATTTGACCACCGCGCGCCGTGAGTAATAATTTTCGTACGCAACTGTATTTTTTTTTTTTTGTTAGCAATAAAAAGTTAGTACTCTGCTGAATTGTAACTGCCCAACCTCCGCTTTATTTGTCAACGAATATTTTTTTTTTTTATTCTTCTCAGTAAGAATAAGAATAATATTACTGTATAATTAAATTACATTGTGACATAATTACTATTACCTAAGGGGCATTAAGTTAATGAGTCGAAGGGGGGAGCGAAGATACGTCATCTAAAGATTTAGACTAGACAATTCCCACAGATAATAATTTTCTCCGAGACAAACCCTTTTATCTTTTACACCGGTAACAACCACCCGGGCTAGCCTACCGATTAGGGGAGCTAACCCAGGAGACCCTTTTACAGGTAGAGAGGTAGCAGAAATTCCAGTTGACCATTTATTAATCCGAGAATCAGATTTAATCTTAAATACAGAAGATTTATTGTTAAACGTAACGAAAGAACTGAAAAAAGTAGATAAAAGTATAATTGAATTTAATAACAAGACCCTCACAAACATGGATTTAATCTCAGGACCTTCAGAGTTCAGGCAGCTCCAACCAGCCCAGCAACACACAACAACCAAATACTAAGGAAACCAGTTCAGCAAGTGGACTGGTCAGCAGACAGTAATTCGCATCATATTTTCCCTGGAACCGAAGGGATGAATAAGCAAAGTATGGGACAAATATTAAATGATGGAACGAATAACGGTTAAATGGAATCAAAAAAGGAAAATTCAGTTCACACAGAACATTTGAAGGAATTCGATTTGGATGCGTTGATTAAGCAACGAATGAAGGAATTGTGCCAAAACTACTCGTTGAAGGCGGAAAACGCGGATCAAGAAAAAACAAGTGTGGAATCAATACGTGAAATAATTGATGCTAAGATAATAGCAGCCTTAGGGAAGAAGGGATACACCGGAACGCCACAGCCAGAACCGTCAATGTCTAATTACATTAGATTAAAGGAAGCTCTTAACTTATTGCCAAAATCATGCGATGGAAGGGACATCGAACAATTAGATATTTTCCTAGAAAATTGTGAATTTGCAGTATCATGCGTGCAAGAGCCTTCCAAGAATCGTCTACTACAGGCGATAATGACAAGACTAACTGGTAAAGCTCGTCAAGTATCTAGGAACCGAACATTTTATACGTGGGAAGCATAACGAGAATTTCTGAAGGCTAACCTAGAACCTCAACGTACTACACAGCATTTATACCTTCAATTATATTCGTCCAAACAGAAGAAGGATGAGGATATATTATCCTGCTGAGGCTGAGGCTGAGGCTCAAGTTGAGGCTGCACGGGCCATGGAAGCGTCCATCAAACGTCAAACAAAGCAAGTCTTTATGGAAGGCTTGGGAATTTTGAAGGATTTTATTAAAGCAAGAAATCCGCATACACTAGAAATGGCTATCCAAGCTGCCAGGGAGGAAGAAAAAATTAAAACCTCTTCAGTGGAAACCAAAAAACCATATCAACCAACGAAACGGGGAGCAGAATCTTATACTTCAGCCAAAAAACCGAACGGGCCGTGTCATGTATGCAAAAAACTTGGACATTGGGCACGAGATTGCAGATACAAAAACGCAGGGAATTCAAGTTACCAATCGGAAACTACAGTATCAAAAAATAAACAGAATACTATTAACGTAGTTAATTGCCTGTAAAAAGCCAGGGCACACCAAAGAAGAATGTCGGAAATTAAAATATGTAACTGGCAAACGTAATGAAGAAAATAAGTCGGGAAACCAACCACAGCCGGCCTCCAGCGGCAGCCGTCCGGCTGGGAGCCTAAAGACAGCCGCGATTACGTTTTCCCAATCGTCCTGAACGTGCTACAATCTAACTACCAAAACCTTAAATATGATCATTTGTCCTGTCAATGTTCAGAGACAATGAACCAGAACATTCAGTTATTAGTGGACTCCGGATCCGATTTAAACTTCATCAAATTATCCTCCTTAAAAAATGATGTTATGGTTCATGAACCTACAGAACACATTTTAACGGGAATAACAGGACATGTACTACAATCACTAGGGACAGTGGAGTTAACACTAATGATTAGACAAGAAAAACGAAAGGCATTATTCCAGGTGGTCCATTCTTCATTCCCAGTTCCTCATGAGGGTATCCTGGGAAAACCTTTTATCATCGGGATGAAAACAATAATAGACCAACGTAAAGAATTGATGCTAACAGACAGTACAGAAAGTGTTGGAACTACAGAAAGTTTAAATAATTCAGAACAGGCAGAATCTCCAAAAACCGCAAAACACGATGGATCATTAGAGCTACAAGAAATAACAGATAATCGGATAAATGGAAACATCGTATTACGACCACGGACTGAAACTCTAGTGAGTATTCCTATAACCGATCGAAAAGATGGAGAAATTGTTTTAGTGCCTGCGCAGACAATTGCTAAGACAATAATGTGTAGCAATACTATAAATAAAGTGAACAACCGAAAAGTCTTTATTTCTATGATTAACCCGACTGAACATGTTGTGACAGTGCCAGATCAGGATTTGATTTCGATCAAGTCTGAAGAGTTTATGGAAAGTAAAATTAACGCTATTTGGTCTAATGAGGAAACTTCAACAAATGGAAGTAGACTCAATAAATTGAACTAAGAAATTCACACGGAACATTTAAATAAGGAAGAGTATGATTCCTTAATGACAATATGTAAACAATTTTCTGATATTTTTCACCTAGAAGGGGACAAATTATCTTTTAAAAACGCTGTTTATCACGAAATTAACGTAAACCCTGCGACGCAACCAATTAATGAAAGGCCTTACCGCCTTCCTTATAAACATAAGCAAGAAATCGATAAACAGATACAGAAACTTCAAGAAGATGATATAATCGCACCAAGTCGTAGTCCTTAGAACGCACCCTTATTGGTGGTTCCAAACAAACAAACTGCAGACGGCACCGCGCAATACCGCGTGTGCGTGGACTTTCGAAAATTTAACCAAGTTTCAGTAGGGGATGCCTTTCCCTTACCAAATATAACCGAGATCCTAGATCAATTAGGGAAGTCCAAAAATTATTCAACCCTAGATTTATCCCAAGGGTATCACCAAGTCTCGATGCATTCTGACCATCAAAGTAAAACCGCTTTTTCAACAGATAAGGGCCATTTTGAATTCTTGCGGGTACCATTTGGTTTAAAGAGGGCTCCGGCTACCTTTCAACGGTTAATGAAAACTGTACTAACAGGACTCAATGGACTGAAAGCATTCGTTTAATTAGACGATATAATAATATACGCACTGAACATTACAGACCATTCTAAAAAATTAGAAGAAGTTTTCAAGAGACTAAGGGAATTTAATTTGAAATTGAACCCTTCGAAATGCTAATTTATGCGAAAAGAGGTTAATTACCTAGGACACTTAATAACGGATAAGGGCGTCAGGCCCGATCCGCAGAAAATTAAATGTGTTTTAGATTTTCCGATACCAACCAATACTAAGGAACTCAAGTCCTTTCTTGGGTTATCCGGTTACTATCGACGTTTTATACCTAATTATGGACAAACTTCAAAGCCTCTTACAGTTTTACTTAAAAAAGATGCTCAATTTAGCTGGTCTGATTTGTGAAAAGAAGCTTTCGAAAAGTTAAAATCTACGCTGACTCAGGAACCCTTACTACAGTACCCTGATTTCACTAAAGCTTTCAATTTAACGTGCGATGCCAGCAATTTCGCTATAGGTTGTGTCCTGTCACAAGGTCCAATCGGGCAAGATGCTCCCATAGCTTATGCATCACGGAATCTAAATAAGGCTGAACAAAATTATAACACTACAGAAAAAGAGCTATGTGCAATAGTTTGGGGTGTAAAGCTATTCAGACCATACTTATTAGGACAGAAATTTACGATAATCACAGACCATCGAGCATTGACATGGCTATTTAACATAAAAGACCCAGGATCCAGACTAACAAGGTGGAGATTAAAACTTGAGGAATACGAATATGAAATCCAATACAAGCAAGGCACCAGTAATACAAATGCAGACGCTTTAAGTAGAATTCATCCTGTAGTAACTAGATCTAAAAGCGCTTCGAAAAAATCAGAAACTCCTGGCATCACAGAAAATTCGGATACAACAAATATCACAGAAAATCCGGATAATCAAAATTTGCAAAATCCCAGTACTACAGTTTCAACAGCTTCGGGTATTTTAAAACCATACCAACAATTTTTAGCAGCAGAACATTCACCAACGGCTAATGTTACAGAAGTAAATGGTGATATTTTTGATACTTCATCAGATATTTCTTTAGTTCATTGTGTCTCAGGTGACTTAAACATGTCGAGAGGCCTTGCATTACAATTTCGACGAAAGTTTGGACAAGTTACACAATTACGAGGACAACGGAAAAAACTCACAGAAATTGCTTACATTAGAGAAGATGAACGAATGATTTTCTATTCAATCACAAAAGAATATTATCGGCAGAAGCCGCCATACGAAACATTTTACAAAAGCCTTCAAAATCTTAAAGAAGCGTGCATGGAACATAAGATCACTACGCTTGCTTGCCCTCGTCTAGGCCGCGATTTAGACGGACTCAAGTGGGAGGTAGTACGAAGTATGTTGCGTTATATCTTCGGGACTCTCCAATATATATTCGAGTATATAGTAAGGATGAGCTTACTGAAGAGAATAAAGAACAGATAATTAGGGAAATGCATGAAAATCTTTTAGGAGGCCATCAGGGAATCACCAGAACCTTTAACAGAATCAACTCTCAATACTATTGGAAGGGTATCAGGAGACAAATTAAGGAATATATACAGAAATGTCCAACATATCAGAAAAATAAAACGAACAACAGAACATTGAAGGAACCAATGGTAATCACCACCACAGCAAACAGTGCATGCGAGAAAATTTTCCTAGTTATAGTAGGACCCTTGCCAAAATCAAACAACGGAAATAATTTCATTCTTACTTTACAAGACGACCTCACCAAATTTGCATGGGCCGTTCCCATGGAGAACCATGAGGCGAACACTGTAGCCCACCATTTCGTTACTCAATTTGTATGTCTTCATGGGATACCTCAGTCTCATGACGGATTGCGGAACAGAATTCCTAAGCAAAATATTTGTCTCGACTGTTGAAAATACGCCAAACCTCAACAACACCGTACCACGCCGAAAGCAATGGAAGTCTTGAAAGAAGCCACAGAACTTTGGGTGAATACTTGAGAAACTTCGTAGAGAAGGACCAGCTGAAATGGGACACCAAAGTACCCTACGCAATGTTTTGCCATAATTCGACAATTCACTCGGCGACAAAGTTCCAACCATATCAACTGGTCTATGGACACTCGTTGGTAGTGCCAACGTCATTGTTGAATAGCCCAGAACCTAGATATAATTACGACGATTATAACTACGAAATAAAGAAACAAATGCAGGAGTCACAGGAAATCGCTAGAAAACACCTTTTAGAAGCAAAACATAAGTCCAAGGAGAGGTATGACAAGACCTTGAGAAGCCAGAACATAGTAGTCGAAAACGAAATTTTATTACAAGATAAAACTTCAAAGGGTAAATTAGCTCCCAAATGGCTAGGGCCATTTGAAGTCCTAGACGTTGATCCGGAACGGAAAAACGTTGTAATTAACAAGAAAGGTCGGAGGCACACAATTCATCAGAATCTTTTGAAAATATTTCATGTGTAACAATTAATTACCTTTCATACTTTTCAGAAACTTACAATGGTCAGTGCACAAGTGATATTAATGATGACCATTCTGCAGGTGATGGTAGGAGAACCACAGAAATTTCCATTGGAAGAGGCAGTTAATATTACTAATTTCAACAGCCATGAAGGTCTATATTATCAATATGTAGGGACTACGAAGACATCAAATTCAGAGTGGTAATTGATTAACTACCTTGACCTAGATAATTATTTGACAAAGTATTTAACGTTGTCAGAGCTTTATGACAGTACTTCTCAACTTTTTGGGGAAATACGACAAAAACTTGAAAGCAACGATAGTATATATATTTGTCAATTGTTTTCAAAGGCTACTCTACCGTATTTATACGAGATTGAGATAAATCATCAAAATATTTTATCCACAATAGGACAGAGCGTGAATACTAACGATAGATTCCGTCGTGGACTCAGGAATGCTATAAGTCGTCTGGCCAGTGTACTTTATGGAAATATTGAGAACATCGATATGGAATTTATATTTAGTAAGATAAAACAATTAACACAAACCAATAAAAACAATTTGAACTTGGTACCAGAACAAATACGGATGATTCAAACGAAGTCAAATATTGTCAAGAGTATTAACAAACCAGCAAAAGTTAGAAGAGAACAATCAAGTCTTCAGCGAACAAGTCAAAAGAAACACACAAAAGATTGACAAAATCGTGGTAAGAACTACGTTATTAGAACAAACAGTGCTATTCGAAGTTATGTTAAACCAATACACAGCTTTAAATGGGAAGTTACATACTACCATCTTATCAGCTCGGAAATGGTTAACAGAGCTTTATAAAAATAAACCTACCATTGGAAATAACACAAGAAACTATTTCAGAATTTATTAAATTATCTGAAGTGGCAATTTTCCACAGAGACAAATATTTGGTATTTGTCACAAAAATCCCTTTAGT